CCGCAAGCCAGTGTGATATTATTCAGCTGGTCTTGAGCGACCCGGTACACCACAGGCTTGTTCCAGCAGGCTTGGTAAGAAGCCTGAGAAGAAGCCATGGCAGCTACTAGAGTCTTCACTGAGGATGGCTGGGAGCTGCTGCAAAATAAAAACTGGTTAGAGTGCGCTCTCGATTCTTTCTGTAAAGGGCCTAACCCTTGGAAATCTAATGTATTCAGGGGGGAGGATCCTTTGAATGAGCTGTGTGTATTGTGGGAAAAGTTTGTAAAAACTAAACCTGTTCCCAAAAGGAAGACACAGAAAAGTGCTTTCATTTATGCCTTAGCCACTGTCAGCAATGAGCTTAGTGCTCAGGTTAAGGAGTTGAACATCCAGTTCAAAGAGTTTGAGTCTATAAAAGATCAATTGGACAGACAACATTTCAAATTGGAGGCTGTGGAAATTCAAAATGCAAAGCTAGAGGCTCAGCTTGCAGCAGTCATGTCACAGTGTGACCAAGCTGAGGACAGCCTCATAGAAAAGGTTGCTGCCTTAAATGACTCACAGGCTACGGTGAGGCAGCTGCTTAAGGAGGCAGGCACGCCTAAGCCAGGAGTGGCCAACCACACCAGCTGCCAGAGGGAAATTGCCAACCTGTGCCTGCAAGTCAGCAAGGCAAGAGGAGTCGTTTCAGCAGTCAGCCCTGGTTATCCAGCTGACTGGCTGAACTCTAATGGAGGTTCTGAAGTCCCACCCCTTGATTGTAATCAAGGAGGGGAAGGGAATATGGCTCCTGTAATAGTAACCGAGGTCCGACAACCAGGGCAGAGTCAGCCCACTATTAAATATGAACGAAAATCTTTATCTCCTGAACAAGCCAGAGTTCTGGGCAAGAACCTAGGTAAATGCTGCAAAGAGATAGCTTTGAATTGGATGGCAAAAGTGGCTGCCACCCCAGATTTAACACCAGAGGATACGGTTACTCTGATGAGGGAGTGCATGTCATTGGAAGACATGACGGCATTGCCTTATGGTGTGGTTAACGGTGCTAATCCAGAACTCATAAATTTGTATAAAGCTGTATACCATTTATACTTCCCCAACGAGGATGTAATGGGAAAATTGTATTCAGATGTGTTATCTGAAGGGGAGAGACCAGAATTGTATGTGATGAAAAAAAGATGTTACATTGGCTTGCTGGGTTAGGTATTCTTGTTAATGGTGCCATAAATTATGATGTTTTGGGATTTAAGAGACTGTTGTATCAGGGTCTGTGTCCATCCCTGAAGATAGCTTTGGGGTCTTTTGATTTTGGGAACACCCCACTGGTTGAGTTTGAACGAAAACTCCAAGAGGTCTTTGAGCTGCTGCAGCAAAGGCAGTGCATTAAACCTAAAAAGGTAGCAGCTCTAGAGGAGAAGGAGACTACCAATGTAAAAAGGCAGGCTAAGGTAACCGAGGACATTTTGGGGAGATTAATGTGACCCGCAAGGTTTTGTCACAGAAGCTATCCAAATTCCTCCCGTGGGATAGAATTCGGGACTTGAGTTTAGGAGAAATGATTAGGGAGCTGGCCAGGCTGGACGTCAAACCAGGCTGCTCCGAGAACTGCCAGTGTGGTGACAACAGACAGGCGCTGCCATCTTGCTGTACAGACGGACCGCCGCAAGGGAGACGCCATGTGGATGTAGAGTGTCATGACGCTTCCAACTGAGGCTGCCAAGCTTCCCTCTTGCCCCCCCTACAGGTAATAACACCGATTGCCTTTGACATCTATGGGAGACCTGTAGTGACAATGACTTTTACAGGGAAGTTCGGAGAAATAAAGCAGAATATATTAGTAGATACAGGGGCGTCTACTAGTATATTGTGTTCAGCGGCAACTCCTCAGCTAAGACAACAGCAATATTCTTGTGTTAAGTCTCTGCAATCCTATAATGGCAAGACATCTATGGTACCATTTGTCAACAATATCAAGTGTAAGCTTGGAGATGAAAAAGTCACCATGCAAGTTGGATTACAAGACATGCACGGTGTTGGCATCATGGGATCAGACATAATTAAAGGACTAGGATTAACTATTGATCTAGTGAACAAGAAGATCTACAAAGCTCCGGACAACCGGAGTGTGGGTGACATCATTTCAGCAGTCCATCATTTAGGTGCCATTAAGGCGTCTGAAGAACTGAAGCTGCCCAGTTGGGATACAGATGTGATGGACATTGTGACCCAGCACAAATCGGTGTTTGCAACGCACAAACTAAGCTGCGGTAAAACAACTGAGACTATAGAAGTTCCTGGCCCTGATCCGCGACCAATGTGTCAGTATCGCTTTCCACAAGAAGCACAGGATGGAATTGATGAAACCATCAAAGCATTACTGAGCCAAGGTGTGCTGATAAAGACTTCAAGTCCTTGTAATTCTCCTATTTGGCCAGTGAAGAAGGCAGATGGGAAGACATGGAGACTCACCGTTGATTATCGAGGGGTGAACAAAGTGACTCCAAGAATGGCTCCTGTGGTGGCAAAGTACCCCGAAATCATCGCACAGATTGCAAATGGAGCACGGTGGTTTTCAGTCATAGATATTTCTAATGCTTTCTTCTCCATTGGACTGCATCCCAATAGCTGGCACAAATTTGCTTTTACCTACAAGGATCAGCAATACACCTTTACAAGGCTCCCACAAGGCTTTCATAATGCTCCTACCATCTGTCATCGTGCAGTATCTAAGTTATGGAAGGGACTGATGCGTTCAAAGAACATTATAAGCTACGTGGATAATATCCTGATTGCCACTCCGGATAGAGAGACACACCTTGCTGCACTTGACGAGGTATTAGATGCCTTAAAGAAAGCTGGTTTCATGATCAATCCTGAAAAGGCCCAGCTTTTAAAGAAAGAGGTCACCTACTTGGGCGTCCGTCTGGGACATGAAGATCGTACTCCAGACAAAAAATGGGTAGAGCTGATATCCAAGCTTCCAGCACCCACAGATGTCCATAGCCTTCGAATGTTCCTCGGCTTAATTGGATTTTGCTGAGATTTCATAGAAGATTTTGGTAGCCACGCGAGACCATTATACAAATTACTGAAGAAGACACAAGAATGGAGTTGAGGTCCAGAGCAGTCAGAAGCTTTTGCAAAACTGAAGACAGCTCTTATGAAAGCGCCAGCCTTGGCATATCCTGACCCAAACAAAGAATTCCATCTTAAAATAACAACAGGGAAAGAAGCGATTGGTGCCATCTTGATGCAACACAGTGGAACCACCTTAAAACCGATTGCTTATGGTTCCAGGACTCTAAGTAACGTTGAAAGACAGTTTACCTCCTGTGAGAAAGAGGTTCTGGCCCTCACATGGTCACTTCAGCATTGGGAGTACCTAATTGGAAGTGCACCCATTGTGTTGAAAACGAGCCACACACCTGTTCGATACATCATATCAGGGAAAGCAAATAATGGGCGACTGTGCCATCTCAGACTGGCTCAATGGACTTTGACACTAATGAACCATGACATCAAGGTGGAACCCTCCAACACTCAATCTAATCCACCGGCAATATTCTGTCAGCCTATCCAAGCTACAGATCCACATGAGTGTCCTATACCGGAACAGTCTGTGTCCAACATTACCTCACCATTTAGTCTACTGCAGTCGTTCAAAGACATCAAAACTAAGACACCTGAAGGTATCTGGGTGGTAGATGGAAGCTGTCGAAGGAAAGACGGGCAACTAGTCACTGGAGCAGCTGCCATGCATACCTCCACCCAATACAGTGTAAAAAGGCCAATTAATGTCGTCTCAGCCCAAGCAGCAAAAATAGTTGCAGTCATCCTAGCGATGGAAGAAGCATTGCCAACGGCAGACATAACCATCTGCACTGACTCGGACTGGGTCCTACGGTCATTCATAGATTGGATGGTCGTGTGGAAAGAACAAAATATGTGCACCAACAATAACAAGCCAGTAGCCCATGCCACTTTGTTAAATCATGCATGGAACTTGGCTACCCAACGCACTGGAAAAATGTATCTTTTCAAAGTGCGAGCACATAGAAAGGACCAGGCCGAAGTCTCCATCCTGAATAATCAAGTGAACCAGCTAGCAAAAGAAGCAGCCAGACTGGATCCAATGACTGCATGGAAGGTGAAGGACATGCAGAGCATCCATGCCTCTGTGCCCTTCCCACCTTTGAAAGATTCTATCAACATCGTAAGACTACAAGAGTCTGATAAAGTCATCATGGAGCTGCTAAGAACTGGAAAACATCAAACCTATAAAATCAGTAGACATTCCAGCGGAGTAATCATGGCACAGAACGAAAACCAGATACCTGTTTTGGTGATGCCACGTGTGTTACGATCAAAGCTAATCGAACTGGCTCACGCACGGGCATTTTGAACTAGAAAAGACTCTAAATCGATTAAAATCTGTAGCATGGTGGCCACAAATGAGTGCAGATGTTGAGCATTTTATCAGCAATTGCCTTCGGTGCACCCAAACCAACCCTAAACCACGAAGCAACAAGGGACCTTTAAAGCATCAACCGATTGATGGTCCCTGGAAAAAGTTACAGATAGACTTCATTGGCCCATTGCCCAAAACAGCCAAGGGCAATGCCTATTGTCTAGTTATAGTAGATCCATTCTCAAAGTGGATAGAAGCCATTCCCACCAGAACGTGCACCGCAAAAGCTACCACGCGGGTTCTACTTAATGAAGTCTTTTCACGTTTTGGTCTTCCAATGGTCATTGACAGCGACCACGGATCTCATTTCACTGCGGAAATCACAAAGCAATTGTGTACGGCCTTGAATATCAAACAGCGATTTCATATTGCAGGCCATCCGCAATCTTCAGGTCAGGTCAAGAGGTCCAACCGGACTATAAAGATGGCCTTGAGGAAAATGGTAGATGCCTCAGGAAAGAAGTGGGACCAGCATCTTCCTCTAATCCTGATGGCTATGAGATCCACGATCAGCTCTGTGAGGTATACGCCACACGAGGTGCTGTTCGAACGACCAATGAAAACACCTGAGCTTTGGTGGTTACAAGGAGGGGTGCCTCCCGATGAATTCCAACCGAGGGTGAAAATTGACCAGTATATACAACATCTGCTATCCATAATATTAAAACAAAATGTGGCCTATCAGCTAAAAAGGAACATCGTGAAAATGGACAAAAGATTGGCTGAGGGGTTAACCCCTGATAACTGGGACGTTGGTACAAGAGTGTTATATCGCCATTATAGCAAAAAAGACAATCCATTAAGTCCTAGATGGCTCGGACCGTCCAATAGTGAACAAAGCCAGTCCAACAGTTTATCAACTCAAAATCACTACTAATAAAAAGAAGAAGATCCTAAAGTGGTTTCATATCTCACAGCTTAAGCTCTGAAAGGGAGAAAAAGAGTAGCTTCAATTTTTCAGTCTGATAATGGGGGTTAGAAACCAAAATCTAACCTACTGTCTTGGTTTATCTTTTTCAACATGGAGTTTTCTTTCAAACTCTTCATTGTTATTATATGTATTAATTATATTGTAACTACAGGTGTCAATATGGTTCGTATGAATGTTAGAATCGTAAGTAATGGTCAGGTAATTAAACCCAATAACTGTAATAATAAATACGTGCATCCCCCTAAAGAGCAAGCTGGTTATAGTAAAAAACAAAGTGTAAAAGTGCATAATAACTAACACACCATTGTCATATTAAAGTATGGATCGTATTCCATCATTAAAATCTAGTGCACTACTTCGTCGCTCTGCTCATCCAGTCCCTGCTTTTAGGTCACAAGCAATGTTATGATGGATGATTTTCTAGTAGTCACTCTCAATCACAATCAAGGAGGGGATTGTAGCCTGCTCATTTTTGACACCTCATTAATATGTATAAGCAATCATTAATATGTATGATTTGTTATGAATATGTAGTAACTGTTAGGAATGTTAATATAGAAGTTTCTAGGAGTGTTGCACACGGCATGCAAGTAGCTGCACGTGTTACACTGTGCTGCTGCACATGGCACGCTCATGAATATTTATGAGAAGGGTGCTTTGAAGGCCTGGCTTACAGTTGTCTGTGATTTTTTGCGCCCTTTCCACCTTGCTTGTGTTTGTGTCACCCTGTCAGTCTCAGTTAGTTAGTTAGGGTTAGCTAGCTTCTCGTCATCGAGTGTGTCCGTTAGGATTAGTGCATCAGTTCAAGGCACCAGCGGCCGTTCCTGCTTGTCTCCTGTCTGTTTATGTTAGTCTGTAGTTAGTTAGGGTTAGCTAAATTTCGTCATCAAGTGTGTCCGTTAGAATTAGTGCGTCGGTTCACTGCACCAGTACTTGTCCATAACAGAAGCGTCAAGTCTAGCTAGTCAGGTTTTGTTTCCAGGTATTAAAAATAGGTAGCTGTCTATCATCGGTTCCTGCTAAAGAGCAGAAGCCACCTGAAGATCAGCGCCAGGCAAGTCTCCACCGGTGATTCCTGCGTCCAGGAGCGGAAGGCCCCAGACGAGGATCATCACCACCTGCCTGCACCATACCCGTCCCCAGGGTCTCCGAGGGATCGCCTCTCTGTTCCTTGCTAAGGGCTCGGAAGGAGCCTAAAGCTTGAGGTCGAGAGCACCGCAGAGGGTCACCGCTGTGAGGGATCTCCTCCTTGTCTTTCACCAGAGGCTTTCAATTAGCCAAAGGTTTGAGAGACAGGAGCTTCTCACCCACTGTCAACTACTGGACTGTGTAATTATTGTATTTTGTGTAACCTTATGTTTGTGGGGTACTTTTCTATCTTCTTTCCTTCTTGGGGTTGGGATAAAAAGTGTTTACCTGCTTTTCCTTGTTGTGCTTTTAAAACTTTTACAATAAATGGTTTGGCCCTTTTAAAGTAAGTCACGTTTTCATTTACTGCAGCATTCTTGAAACAGCAAACACCTATAATAAATAAGGTCTGGTGTCGACTGCAACTTCCACTGAGGTTTTAATAACGTAAATCAGATGCAAATTTAGGCCTTAGTTATCCTCAGTGCAACACAACGAAGAGGTCCCAGATCCATCAGTACATGTGGTGGGCTAATTTAGGGGAGCCATGGACAGGGCTAGGCAAGTTATACACTGGTAAGTCAGTGTAACTTACACACCAGGCGGCAGAAGGGCAGGTCTGTCTGGAAAAACAGCCAGGAAGGTGAAGGTCCAGGAGCCATGCACCTTTCCCCCACTTACCTGCATGCGCATTGGCAGTATATCTGATGCACCCATGTCACTTCTGAGTTCAACCCGCTGAGTTTAAACCAACTCTGAGCATTCAGACCCCATGCTGCTGGGGAGACTGGAGCTCTGCCTCGCCTAGGGCTGAGGAATACAATCAGCAGAGTGAGAGGGGAATTTCTATGATGGAAAACGAGAATGCCTGGGCACGGTACATGCCCACCCACAGATGGAAGGGAACTGTCGGCAGCAGGAAGGGACAGAAAGCAAGGGGAGTAGAGCCCGTGCTGTCAGGGAGTCCTCAGCCCGGCCGGCCAGATATTCGAGGGGATTCGCAGGACAGGGTGGATTTTAATACTTTACCTTGTCGTACACAGCAATGTAGAGTGAAAAACCAAATGTGTCCTTCAGCTTCGTTTTATCAGCGATCAGCTGGCAGATCTCTTTGGCAATGGAGGCCGAATCTGCAGGGACTGTGATGCTTTGGCCATTCATCAGTGTGACGTTAAAGACAATGGGTTTCTTCTGCTTTGTTGCCTGTTGGCCAGAGAGAAACAATGGGAGGAATCAGACAGAGCCCGCGTTCCCAAGGAGCATGGAGAGTCATTGCAACTTAAGAGCTTTCTCTGCACCAAGCATGGTCACAATCACATTCACGATCTCAGCTCATTAAGTGGAGTTATGTCTTCTCTAGAAATGTGGCTGTGGGTATCAGTGCAGATGCTCGCTACAGCGAGGGGAAAGGCTCTCCCCTCACGGTAGTTAATCCACCTCCCCAAGAGGCAGTACCTCGTTTGACAGACGAGTTCTTGGATTTGAGGATTGTAGCTGGGTTGACATTTTAGTGTAGACCTGGCCTCAGTCTGCAGGGCTCATACAAAGGAAAAGAGTAAACACCAGCTCTCCACCCATCTTGCATCTTTAGCAAATTCAGCAGCAAGCAACTGGTCATCCACTTACGGACTGGACACAGTTGCAGCCATGTCCTGCTTTGCTAGTCCAAATGGGAAGGAAAGACTACAACGTGCACAGCTAGCGGCATCGCCAAACCAGGGTTACTGTTTTCAGTTCCTGAACTTGGAAAGATCCACCAGTGAAGACAAATAACCACAATGCAGCATGGACACACAGCTACGTAACTGAGAACCCACTGAGGAGAGAGAAGCTACCTGTAGCTCCAGCCAGCTGGGAGGTTCAGCCCGTGCCCCATTGGTATAGGTGCGTTTCAGCCGCTAGCGGCATCGCCAAACCAGGGTTACTGTTTTCAGTTCCTGAACTTGGAAAGATCCACCAGTGAAGACAAATAACCACAATGCAGCATGGACACACAGCTACGTAACTGAGAACCCACTGAGGAGAGAGAAGCTACCTGTAGCTCCAGCCAGCTGGGAGGTTCAGCCCGTGCCCCATTGGTATAGGTGCGTTTCAGCCGTTCAGCACAAAGCATAGGAGACAGTTAGGAAATGCAGATGTTCCTAAAGAACTAGAGACTCACAGGGGCCAGTAGATCAGATCTGCCTGATCCTGTAATAGCTACAGTATTCCAAAACCCACTTGCCAATGTATTGTGCTGCTTTTCCTGGCATTTTCTAACCAAACTTAGTCACCCATTAAGATTTCTGTGTAGAAATGAATCTTCAATTCCTGCAGGGCTTGCACAAGCCTGTCAGGTAAGTGAGGAATTTTGCACTAGAGCTGTTTGCAGTGATATGTAGAACCCCTCAGCAGGGGGTACGGTGTGTGAGGAACTGCTGGCTGTATTTATGATTGCAAATGCACATGCCTGCCTGGGCTCTGCATGGCACCAAGGGCGTCCTTTGTCCATGCCGTCAGACTGTGCAGAGTCGCAGTAACTGCACATGCAAACACAGGGGTGCAAACTGCACATGGACCATCAGCTCAGGACTCTCCCTGGAAATCTGACCGGCTATCTGAATCCACAGGCCAAAGCTCATGCTTTAGGGAGCAAAGTGCTCTTCTCCCTGTAAATCAGGATGGGGAGGTCCTATTTCCACCACTGGGAAAGAAGTGGAGATGAGAGCAGAGTCGGGCCCCATCGAGTTGAATGGAACGACAGCAGAGATACATGCAATTTGTCCACTCCACACATGCCGCTTGAGCGGGGCCCTCGGCTTGGCAGGGGGAGTGCCAGGAGAAGGGAGGAACATGTGCAGAATAATCTCTGGGGAGGGAGTTGCTGCTGAATTTTACTCTTAACTATCCCCCTTCACCACATTACAGATGCCTGTAATGTACACAGGACAGGCCCAATCCTCAGCAGGTGTAAACTGGCGTAGTACTGAAGCAACATGGAGTAACTCACATGAAGTCAGAGCACTGAAGTCAATGTAGCAGCCGAGGTTCTGGCTCCTGTATTTAGGTCTGGGAGATCAACGATCTCCTGGGGTTCTATTTAGTGGGTCTAGTAAGGACCCACTATATCGACTACTGATTGCGCCCCCATCGACTTGACTCCGGTGCTCCACTGGGCCATAAGGGAAGTCAGCTAGAGAGTTGCTCCTGTCACCCGCCTGCAGTAGGGATGCTGCGGACACTCAGCTTAATTACCACTCCAGCTATGCTATTCCTGTAGCTGGAGTTGCGTCTCTTAGGTCGACTTTCTCCCCCACTGCAGACCTGGCCTGAGGGAGGGCGAAGGGTACACTACCAGATACTATGTTCTGATTTGTCCACTGGAGTCATGATGGGGGAGGAGTTTCTGCATCAACAGTACATCAGCTACATTAGCAACCAAAAGTTAATTCTACATACTGGCGCCAAATACAACAAAGAAGCCCTCAGACTGGGTTAGGCCTGATCCAGGGAACGAGGGCACGATACCTTCACAAACTTGTCTGAGGGAGGGAAGCAGCCCAGGCAAAGCGAGAGGAGGATCCAGCCTCGGGCTCGACTGCTCTTGTTGTTGTTCTCAGAGAGCTGTTTGCAGATCTGGCAGTAAATCTCATCTCTGCAACAAGACACATGCAGTCAAGAGGACTGTGCCTGGCTGATCGCACTGTCAAAGAGACTGATGGACTTTGTGCCGTCAACCTGTGGCTGGATGGATCCCACCAGCATTCAGAATGACCATTTCAGCCCTTGAAAGCTACCTCTGTCACAACTCGGTAAATGTACATGTTGTATTTACTTCCCTTTCCACAGTGCTCAGCAGCGCAATATCCAGGCACCATGGCCTCATTCAGGAATCCAGTGTCAGAGGTTGGAGGGAGGGGGGGAAACTGAGGCACAGAGAGTGACTGATTTACCCAAAGTCACACAGGAAGCCAGGGTTGAATCTCAGCCCAGTGCCTTCTGCACAAGGTGTTAATCCTACAGTGTCATGGCCTCAGGGCAGTTGTATGTCCAGTCTAGTCCGACTGTGACCAAAGGCTGATACAGCTGTTTGGTGTTTTATGTGAAATGAGTCTCGGAGTTTCTGTCCAGCTTGCAGGGGGAAGCACCCCACTGCATATCGAAATGTCAGGCATGAAGGATTTTACTACTGGGAACAGAGGCTTGGGGAAGAGCATAGACATATTTTGAAGGCCTCTGTATAAACAAGCAGGATAATTGTGACGTTAGTATCAAGAAAGAGCCCAAGGGAGAGAGTCTAGTAGCTGAGCTTTTAAACCAGAAGCTTTCAAAGAAACCACAGCTAATGGTGGAATTAACTAGTGTGAATGTGAAAAGGCAAGCTACCTAGCAAGAGCATAGGAGCATGT